ATTTTTCAAGGGCAGTAGCTCTTACTCAAGCCGTCTTTCAACAAAAAGGTGCTGCTCAAATACTAACTAATGGTTTATTGATACATGTCAAATGGGATCAGTTTTTTCTACAATTTCAAGGCAGACTTTTTCTCACTATTCAGTGTCTTTCCGTCTTTACAGAATGCCAAGCTTTTTCTTAATAAATATATATATAAGTCTGTTTTCCTTTACAGTGTCTGGCATACAACTATGGATATATTTGACATCCCTGTTGAGAAGCGCTGGAGTGATTCGCAGGAAACAATGACGCGCGTGCTTAGACTTCATTAGCAACGCGTTCCTTGCAACTTGTCTCACAATAAGCCTGAAGCGAGATGACGTTTTACCCCCGTCTCTAGACCATAATCCTTTTCACACTGCTTTTGTTCTTTAATTATAACTATTGTTCCTGTGTTCTCTAAGGAATCAAAAATTTTGATATGAAAGAATTTTAAAAACTATTATGGTATAGAGTCGGGGGTAAAACGTCATCTCGCTTCAGGCTTATTGCGTTGCGCATTAAAAATTGATGAAATAATTCAAGCCTGAGGTTAAGGTTAGGGTAAGTCTGAATATCATATCGTTTCCACAATTCAGGATGCCAAAAGTAGAACTCATTCTGTCAATCGTAATGATTTCCGTAAGGCTCGATGTCACCATGGTTTTAGTCCAAGATCTAGTCTTAGCATGGCCATGCGGTATACATTTCCCCTTCTTGGATGAAAATATATCAAATTTACGAAATAGGACTCTGCTATCTAGCAGCGTATTTTTGAATATTGAATTGCTTACATTTTTTTTTTCCGTCTAGCTGAAAGGAATATCACCTGACGTTAGAGTAAATTGGCCTTTACTCATAAAATATGACATTCTACTTTTTTTGACTGTGGTAGGTCTCTATCTGTCTGTGACTGACCAAATACGATAGAATGAAATGAGTGAATGAGACTGAGATCATCAAACTTGACACAAATGATAATATCCAAATCAAGCATGCAAATCATTTACCCCGCGATGTGTGATCAATGAGTCTCGTTTTACCACCTCCTTCACTTCATCTCGATGCTGAAAGATAATAATTTCATTCAAGTATCATTCCAAAATATTCAAAACTTGAAACAATTCGACAGGTGGGAGGGGTGGGTAGAGGAGCCCAGCGAACTGGCGGTAGCCTCGTCCCCAGGCTACTCCATGTCTCTTCCAAATCCAAGAATGGTGGACGCTTTAGCTTCAGAGCTAAAACAACCTGTACGTAGTCTCCTCCACAGCCGTAATTAGTTTTGGTCCCAGATCCTCACAGGCCCTCTACCTAGTAACCTGGCAAAACAAGCCGAGTTATCTTTCAAAATAGACAAATGGCAATTTTTTCTTAAACTTTTTTTCTATTGGTCGCTCGTTTTAGTTCCATAGACCGCACAATTCACCGAAATCAAGGATCTGGCCAGTCTCATCGCTTGAGAGTCACATGCGTGACGTCAATGACAAACGGCAGGCCAAAATCTTTGAAAAATTGTCAAACGTCAAATTTGTAACCGTCAACATTATATCTAATGCCCTGGGGCCTAGAGGTTGTTTATTCTCGCTCTGGCGATTTCTGTTTTGACGTGAAGTCGCAATTGCGTACTCTACTGCTTTTGTATTTGGCTAGTTGCAAGGGGAAAAAAGCCATATGTAGTTTATTTGTACCCTGCGGTCTATGTAGAGGTTATTTATTCTCTCTCAGGCGTTTAAGCTAATAATAAAACGTGAAGCTAATAAGTTTGGCTTATTATTCGAATTCTGACTCCCGTGATTATCATCAAGCACAACGTACTACAGTTCCACGTCAATTTGTAGATGAAGCAGTTCCACCTAAACTGAATAATGAGCAATTATGGGAGGAGGCGTATAGATTATAATTTATGATATAATGCGGAAACGAATTCGATAATTGTTTTATTACATTTCTTTAATTAAAACTAAGAAATCATTTTGTTTTTGGAAAATAAACGTATCTCTGACGTGACCTTGAATATAAAAATCATATTTTACACCCCGACGACCCCCCAGCGGTGAGAGACCACCCCTGGCACTACGGAAAACAAAATCGGTTGAAGTTTCTCGGCCAATAAGAAGCGAGATAGTGACTAGTAAAATGTAAAATGAATAATATTCGTGGCTTGTGGAGTTAACTATTATAGCTGATTTTAATATTACATTTTGATAGGCATGTGGGGTTTGGTCAGTGAGAATCCAATTGTTTAATAGCCATTCCGAGGTTTAGGGGGGGAGGGGGGAGTCATTTGGCATTGCAATGCATTGTAGAACATTTTCATAGGTTATATTTTTAAGATTGCGTCTCTTTCTTCCTCTAAAACAGTACAGTTAGTTAATGTACTGCAATGTCAACTCGACACAGCTTTAGTTTTCCTCAACCTCGCCGGAATGGCTTATACAGAAGTGCACTCACATTTAGTCAAATCACTTTTGTTCAGGACCCGGATGTTGCTAGTTCCGGCTTTGATTGCAAACCCTACCGTAAGTAATGAAAAAACATAAACACAGATGTAGCAATAAACATAGGTAAAACTTTCATAGCTTTTAGTCAGTTTTTCTCAGTCTTCTCCTAACGGGTCACCTTAGTTATAATAGGACAATTGATTTCAAGTAATCTGGGCGTCGTTACAGAGCACGTGGATAAATCAAAAGATGAATTGCACGCTTATGTAGACACACTGGCTATGCTCTAAATGATGTGGATATTAACATAATCCCATTGTTGTGGTTTATTTACTGATCCTATTGAGCATAATGCACTTTACAATCAAGTTAAAGACTAATTTGTATGTTTAGTCAAGAACAATAGAGACCACCTCTATGGTCGCGTTTCTTCACTCGTGTGTCATTTAGTCTATTATAGTAACTGTTCATTCATTACAACGGGGCACAGTTGGTGACAGCGAGAAAAAACATCGTAAGGAATTTGTTAGGAAAAGCCCAAGCACGTCTTCGAACTCCACAGAAGAGAAATGGAAAGAACGATTTATATGCTTGGGAGTTTGATAGTACTTGGTAAGTAAAGAAGTAAAAATAACAAATATTATAATACACGTACCACATGTTTGTTTGCTCTTAATTGATACAAAAAGACTGTAGTATCTTTTACGGTTCGATATTCTCCCTCTTGAGTGAATGAGTTAACTTTGGAAGTGACACTCGTAAACGTTATCTTGTGAATAGAGTACATTTCAATGCGGCACTCAGCCAGAGTTGTAGCACAAACGTTCAGACGTATATTTCATTTTTATTTTTTCTTTGACTTTCGCTAAATTGCAAGACTTTTATGAAATTCTTCAATTCTATAAAATAGGCCTCATATGGACTATTCTAGTGCTATTTAAACTGAATTTTTTTAGGAATATTGGCGATTATCTTGCTCCAATATCCGGTTCCGTGTTGTTAGATGTATATTTTACTCAAAGCTTTTGCTTTTTAACTTTGTTTAACTACGTTAAAAAAGCAAACATTATACATTGCAATAGTGACAGTTAAGTCAACAAGGAAGCCTAATATTGACTCAGATAAGGTCTATTTGAAATTTTTCAATCATAGAAACTTATTAATTTGTATTTTAGTCGCGCCTGGAAGTGGTCTGACAGTTTGTAGGGTTGGCCAGGAAACCCGTTTACTGGATCGTTAAAAGAAAAGTTAGCACCACACAATTAGTGGCTTGGTTTCAGTAAAATGGAAAATTGCACGTAGAAAATTAAAATATAGGTTATTTTAACTTAGTTAATTTAACTTATTACAAATTAGACTGTTTAAATATAACTTTGGAGTAGGCAACATTCGTGATTCAAGACATTGCTGAACTGAACCTCGAGTCAGGGTCCGAGATACAGTGTTGTATTGAAACATAAAAAAGATGCCCAGTGCAAAATTAAGGATCAAATTTATTAGGTGTTTTAATATTTAGTTATAAATATTATCTCTATGCATTTGTTTTCGTTTAGCAAGTCTCAGAATGGTCCCTGAGGTCCAAAGCCTTCGTTTTTGTTCATTCTGCGATACCACAAGCCCTAATGTGTGCGAGAAAAGGAAAGGAAAGTGCCTTAAACCAGCCAAGTGTGACTCAAGTGCAATGCAAAGGTGCGAAAGAAACGACGATCTGTGTTTGTCCTCGTGGCGGTATACGACTCAAGGCCTATCTATTCTCTCTGGATGCTTCCCTTTGCCACCTCACTCCAAGAGAACCGATTACAGCAAGAACTGTAAACCGCGGCAAAGAAATGGGACCTACACGTGTCTGTGCAGAAGGAATGGCTGCAACAAGTATCCGTCCAGACAAGCCGTGTCGATCTCAACCCGTTATCAAGCAACAACCACTAGGATGATGTCAAATAGAGGGACAATGGGTGTACTGGCCTCAGGTAAGGATACTCTTAGGTCATAACTATAGTATAGTAATTATTAAAGCTACTGTTGTATTAGTAACAATGGATCTGACAGGTGTGCTGTTGTGTATCCCTAATTACAGACATTAACAATTGTGCTATACATATAATACTAGTAATACCAGAACATGTCAAAAGTAAACCCCTTGTTGAATTCAGAAGATCAGGACAACACGAAACAAGACTAGAGTACTGTAAAGATGTCATCATAGTTAATAGATATTACTTATATACTATGATGTCACTGATTGATATACCTGTATACTAAGTATTGACGTTTAACAGTTTTCTAACTTACAGCTCTCGAAATGATCTTGAAAATAACTAAATAATCTCCTTTCATTTGTCAAATCACTGATGAAAAGCATTCAACGTTCTTTTGCGGCCGATTGAAAGATGTCTTTGTTGTTGTTGTTGTTTTAATGCATGTGGAAGAAAATTCCGTTATTCATGATCGTCTTTGTACTAAACTTTTCTTTTCTTCTTTGCTGATAAGTTGAAAGAAAGAATGTTGGTTCTCTTGGACATAGTACATCATGGATGAACATGGCAACACGGTGGATCTTAATGGCATGTACTGTCTTACTTGCGCTGATTTTTAGTCTCTTAATTTATCACAACTGCATCAAAAACAACCAAACAAACAGCATCAAAAATGAACCAGACGACATCCAAGGAAAAGGTTCTCTCGGCGAATCAGACGACAGAAGTAATGATGCTCGAAGACCTGTTATGAAATCGGTTATCTCACAGGGGGAAAATAGCACCGTGTGGCGCGGCTTCTTCAATGGAAAGTGCGTAGCACTTAAGTACTTTTCACGAAGTGAGGGATCATTGTGGCAGAACGAGTGCTATATTTATTCCATGTTAACTCCTGGACATGAAAATATCTTAAAGTTCATAGCAGCGAGTGATTCTAATGACAATCTTAATCAATTTTGGCTAGCCACGAGTTTTTATGACCAAGGTTCTTTACAAGATTATCTTACTGCGCACACTCTTACGTGGGATAGACTGCTGACCATGGCTAAATGTATAACAGCGGGCCTAAGCTTTCTGCATAGTGAATGGCAACTTGATGGAAAGCCTAAACCTGCAATTGCTCATCAAGATCTTAAGAGTAAGAACATCTTGGTAGGAAATGATGGCACTTGTGTGCTGGCTGACTTTGGCTTATCGATGGATCTATCGCAAGGCTACCTATCACAAGTCCACAGGAATGGACAAGTAAGTAGTGGGATTAATGTCACTAGGTTGTTTTTAGGGGAGGGGGAGGGGGCGTTGCAAAACAAAGCTGGCACAACATGTTCAACTCCCAACCCTCCTCAGATGATGCTTAATCTGTCTTCCACTCGTTTCTTATTTTTGTTGCACAGACCTCTCGATGTACCCCTTACGTCTGCATGTACAAATCCCATCTTACCCCGCCCTCTCTATTTGTTCAACAGCCACCCTATAAGCAACCACCGGTCCCCTAACCATGTTATAATAAGAGTCTTATAAGTTTGTCCCATTTTGTTTGTTATTCTATAGGTTGGAACTTATCGTTACATGGCACCCGAAAAGCTTGAAGCAAGAATCGACGTGGAGAATCCGGAGTCATTCAAGCAGATCGATGTTTATTCTTTAGCACTTGTTTTATGGGAACTACTTTCTCGATGTCACATAACAGGTAAAATATATTAATATATATCCGATTGTTCTATAAGTCTTTTCTTGCTGTTGTAAATTTGTTGTTGTTGTTGTTGTTGTTGTTGTTGGTGGTGGTGGTGGTGTTGCCCTCTTAACTTTGCTTGGCTCAATCGCAAAAGAAAAACAAATGAATAAAAAGTGGATGGTGCAAGCTCATTGAAACAGACTATTTACAAATCCACTTATGCTTCAAAAGTCAGTAAATTGCACATTGATTTGTTTGTTTATTTCATCTTAGACGGTAGGATGGGAGGCAAGTTCTTAAAACAGCTATACCAGATGAGTGGCTGAACAATAGGAAATTTCTTTCCCCTGAGGCAATGCTTTCTTTCCGAAATATAACGATTTGATTCCTCCTTTCATCCAACATGGCTGCCGTCAGGTGATCTTGCAGAACATCTATGTGAATGTATCACTAGACCCGCAAAAAAACATTTACGAGAAATTCAGGAACTGCTTTCTTACTTTCAAAAGCCGACTTTTCGAGACGTGAGGCACAGATGTTATTTGACCAGACTATCGGAAATCCTTGGACAAGCCCCTGGCTTGTATTCCACTCAAAGTTCACGCAGATGATGAAATTAGTATGGTTTCGACGGGTAAATTTGATAAATGCACGACATATAGGTTACATCAGTCTGTGCCAAATGCATGTATGTCAAGCGGTTAATGTACCATACAGTCATTATTTAATAGTCGTGAATGCGCAGAGGCAGATTCCTAATAGATTTTCGTTCTGACAGTACATATGACCTGTTAATCATGCAGCTTCTGAAATACAGTCTTGGCTTTAACCTTTGGTACATTGCGCGCTGTGGTTTAGTATGTGATATATTGGCAGCTATCGTTATTTAAGTGCATCTTAATGATGGCCAACTGTCAAGCAATATGTCTATTAAAACTATCCAGTTTTCGTTAATTTGGCTTTCTTATGAGTGAGCAGGACTAAAAGCCATTGAAAATTGAGGTTCTAATTGCGATATAATTTCTATCAAAACAAGATTCAAAATTCACTTATCTTTTTTTCTGTCACATGAACCGGTCGAATTGAAAGGCTCCTTTGTGCAACGCCTAAAATTTAATATCTATAGCTTCATATTTTTACCTGGAAGGTTTGCTAATCTTTACTTATTACATCAGCATCATGATATGTGTTAAGGTGTGACCAGAAACACCCGATTGCTGGCTGGTGATTTGAAATTGAGCGGAGACTAGGAGTTAGGTAGTTGCCTTTGTTTGCACTTCACTTCAAAACGTTACAGCCATTCTCAATCACACGCGCCGCTCTAGCGACTGTTTGTGTCTCGACGAAGAAGCTTTTGGTGGACTTCAATCAAGGCGTTTCCATAACATTCTATAGGCACGCGTCCTTATAGCTTTGTGTTTTCCGACAATGTTATAGAAATGCCTTGTGATTGACGTCCAACAAAACCTTCTTCGTCGCGACAGAAACAATCACTAGAGCGTTAGAGGGCGCGTGTGATTGAGCATGGCTGTAACCTTTGATTAAAATAAACGTTGAATAAAAAAAGAAGAAGAACGAAAAATAAGGATCGTCATTTATGCAAAAGTTTATACGTTTAGCCCACAGCTAGCTACTCTTTCGATTTGTTAGTCGAAGAATTATTGAACTATTAACTAAACTATATAATTATTAAGTTGCACGCTTTGACTTTTAAGAACCCGGAGAGAAAAGTGTTAGGAGAAGGAAGAAGCATATAGCGGACACATGTAGCATTCAATATGAAGTCGTTTACAAGTGTTTGATAATGTTCTTTTTCTTCTGTAAACACATTTGGCCATGACCCAAAACCTTTCTCAATGACTAATAACTTTAAATAAAGATTATATCTTAGTTCACGGAAGAAATGAAGGTTGCCAGTCGGGCCGACAACTGCTTCGTAACGTATAATTCATACAGCCATCAATACATTGGATGTTATCAGTAAACCTAACTTATAATTATCTGGGCAGGTCTTTCAGTCAGTGCCCTTTTCAGATTACACTTAGAGGCGAGCTAGTAGAGAACATGTAGTGGCAGACTAATAAACACTGACTACACAACATTACTATTTTGATCTTTTCCTAAAGTTGCTAGAAGGGCAAAAGTATAGTAGTCAAAGTCTTCCGATATAGAATAAAGACAATAATATTGAAGAATATTTTTGTCGTTCTGATCACTCACGTTCATGATACTCTACAACTAATTATGTTACTAACTTTCAAGAAAACTTGAAGCCCATTCTAATTTTTTTAAACTTTTCCTTAAATTTCGACTATAAGAAGGTGCACTTCCGTTTAAACCGTTTACGAAGTTTTAATTTTGCCAAGTAGTTTGAGGCAATACATGTGTGTCCATTGATAAACTTACTAAACTCTAGGCATTACAGTGTGATCATTCTATGGTCTAATTACTGAAAATCTATAATTGTACAAGGTACAAATGCAAGACGTACGCTCAATAACCAATGTTTCCGGCGTACAATATTGTCTAGTCATCGCCTGTTTGGGAACTAGATTTACGGGCTTGTCCACTGATTTTTATTTATGTTAAATATGAGTGGTTTGCCATCAAGGCCAGCTTACATTTGCAAACGTCTTAAATTATCAACAGTTTGTTGGAAGGTGCTCAGTGTCCGTGAATATCATACAGTAACTCAGAGTAACTAGTTGTAAGTCATTTGTTTAATAACTGTATCGTATAAAGATAGCACCCCTATCTTGATCCGCCATGACAGTTTGATGCGATTATAGACCTTCTAAATGAAAACACATCGCAATAACAGATAATATATATACTTACCATTTTCATTCCGACACTTTATAACCCATAACTGATTATCCTGACTGGAGTACCAAAAACCTATTATTAAGATGCCTTGCTGAAGAAAAGTAATGAAGGAATCCATGACTCTTGATTATTTGAACAATGAAATACATAATTTTGCCCTGACTGTTGTGAAAAATCACCGTAGAAGAGAGATCACGTGAGTTGGCTTCTGTAATTACATTGGCTGTTGCCTTAAAACGGAAATGGTGGTAAAAGAAGATGCGRGCGCGTGTCAAAAGTTAAGGCTGTGTGGCGGATTGCCAATGGCCGAAAAAGGTGCTCAATCGGTTAGGTGATATCATGAGAGCAAGCTAAAGACTGTCACTGTGATATCATGTCTGATTGTAAGTGCCTTCATCCTTGACCCGCCTGTTCGATAATTTCACATCTAGTTAACAATGCACAGACTTTAAAGCTAAAATAAAATACTGATGGGTTGGTTATGACCTCTTTATTGTGCTGTTGTCAAAAAAACCGCATGCATGCGCATTTCATGGATTCTCCTAAAAACTCGTACCCTTGAGATTATGATGGCAGAATATGTGTTTCCCTTGCCCTTGGCAGCCAATGTGCAAATTAAAGGAATTTGAATTAACATATGAGCTTTAATTATTAATCTTAAGGAATTAGGATACGTTTACGACCACTATGCGGGCAAACTTAAATAACGCGCTGGCTTTATAGTATAACACAAACAAAGTATACATTTTCTGAAAGCTAAGTAAATATAGTTTATGAAAAAATTTTCAAAATACGATTTTTTTATTGTTGTTCACATTATTGTCCTCGAGGCGAAATTTGGCCATGCTTCAGTGAAAACCTTAACGAGCTCGTACATTTTAAGCTATGTTTGCGAAAAATGGCTTAGCATACTCAGGAGATAATAAGCTCAAAAAGAGTGTCCCAGATTTTTGATATCTGTTTTCTATCTCTCGCTATTTTTGATCAAAGTTCAGCGATCGCTTTTGGAGTGTTGTTTATAGTAAAAAGCGTCATAACTTTGGAAAGAAATTAAATTCCAAAATTCTGAGACACCCTTTTTTGGATCATGAGTTACTTTATGAACTCTCCGAATTTTAGAAAAATCGAATGAAATCCAAGGGACTTTTAGCTTTTTGAAGTTGTGGTTTTAGCGGCAAAAAAGATTCGAGAAAAATGCATTTCTTTGTTTGGAGCTGGAAGCTGCAGGGAGCCACGATGGTGTTGGTCAAAACACCTTCAGCCTTCCATTTTGTCATCACTTGTCAAATTATCTGGGGTTCTGGACGATCGCATTGTAGGATCTTTTTACAATGACAAAGGAGCATGACAGATGTGCATGATTAAGCGACGGTACCTTTCCGGTCTTGATAAAGTCACGATTTCGATTTTTCTCAAATTTTGGCTTTACCAATCAAAAATTGCAAGAAGTTTCACAAACATATGAAAGATAAAAGTTTAAAATTACGAAATTAAAAATTTTTTTTCTCGAGCAATTCGTCAATTTTCGTATCCTAATACCTTGATATATTTAAATCATGACTATACTAAGATGAGATGATGTACTTTTTAAAATAAAAATTATGAAAATCATTAAAATTATGGAAATCTTAAAATTATTTWWAAAAAAATTTTTTTTTTGGCAAACTTTGTTTTTAAAGAAGCCTTTAGAGTAAAGTGAACTAGCTCTTCTTGCCAAAATGTTGAGATATCACGAGTTCGTCATCTTGCTTTGTGCCAATATCAAAAAATATCTGATTAGATTATTTTCCAGAAATTTAAGTAAAGGGGTGCGGGAGATAAAAAATACTGCAGCTGTTAAACCACACCTTTAGGCCCACGTTTGGAGTGGGTTGATCCTAGCGCCTGGGCTAACTTTTGTTTTTAAAGTCTCCTAAGGGAAAAGGCGAAAGGCTTCAAAGTCATATCTAAACCTTTACTGAGGTTGTTATGCATTGTATGTGACTAAGTCTAATAGAATTGTTTATCTTTAATGATTTTTCATCACCAGACGAACCAGAGAACACTGACAACATCTGCACAAATTTTACTTTGCCCTTTGAAGATGTTGTTGGATGCAGTCCAACACTCGAGCAAATGACAAAATCTGTCGTCGTTAATGGCTGCCGACCGTCTCTTCCTAGTGGATTGTCTAGTCATCAATCAAAGGTACTTAAAACACCCCTTGCTAAGGGTATCATAGCATTTCAGGCTCCTTGTCATACTCGCAGTTCATGGAAAACCTTTGAACTACTCCTTTGAATTACTAGTTTCCTATTTGAGTTCTCGCGGGCGCGTAGTTGAAACCCCGTTCTACCCCCAACTTCCCACAAGAACGCCTCCTCTGCAAGCTACTTTTCCTTCATGACATACATCGCTTCACTGGTCAAACACAAAGCACTTAATCGAGGCTTCAAGGAAGTTTCAAAGGATTATTTACATTTGAATCTAGCAACCTCGACTGAATGCTTTGTGTTTGACCAGTGAAGCCGACTTATGAAAAATGGTGAATCAGCTCTATTGTCAAATCGGTTTCTTTCGCTCGTTTTTTTCCCCCGGGAGCGAGAAAGGAGGACAAAATTTCATCCCTGGGTTTCAGAGGATGCTTTATTCAAGTCTGTCGTAAAATACACGTACATATTATTCCCATGTAACCTTCATCTGCAGGCGTCTCTTTGCTCTCTTCTCTCTCTTTTCCTATACTGGGCTTCCTGTGTTAGTTGAGAGTTTCACCACAGGATACCCATTCCCATGCACGTCTAACAATACTGAACCAATTTCCTGTTGTTTTATTTTCCCCCCAAAGAATGAGGTAACGTGTGTGTGGACAACGATCAAGGAGTGCTGGGATAATGATCCTGAAGCACGGCTAACAGCTGCATGCATTAACACGAGATTGATATCACTTGTCAGCTGAACGAAACAACATTAGCTACAATGTTTAGTTTCGCAATTCACTTGGACTAATTGACGTCAAAAAAACTCTTCATCGATCTCTCTTGTTTTTGCGAGCCTTAAGAGAAAACAAAAAAATAAGGTTACAGGTGCACATTCTTTGGTAATATTAGTGGCCTGCGCACTAGCGGATTTTGGGACTTAATCGGGAGGAAGCACTCCCTTTCCTCTCCACCATTGCACCCCCCTCCCCCACTTCTATAGGTTCCCAAACACACCGCTAGTGATGGTTGTGATAGTAGTAAGTATTGTGAGACTTGCTAGCACCAGATGACGACATAAAAATTGTGGTTTGGCGAAGTTTACGTGCGCATACACAGTACGGTACCATGTACGGGCTGCAAATCAGTTACTTCCGTTTCCCTTCCATAAGACATAATAAAATGACTTATACTGAATCGGCAGATTCAAGGATGCTGGTCATACTTAAACCACAACTTATTATCTTAATTAGTTTCGAAATACTCCTTTCACATTTCCGTTCAGTGACCACGAATAGTAGTTCCAAACTGAGATTGGAGTTGCCACGCATGACAAAGCTATAGACAGCTCCAGGACAAAACAGTCCCATACCACATTACATCAATCTGAATGATACGATATTCTTAATAAAAGATGAAAAACCATAAATGTTTTTAATAACATTGTACAAGCTCTATGACCTCCCCGGCAAGCAAATTGAAACGCTGCACCTCGGTGATATTATTAAGATAATCATTTATTACTTGAGACTAAAAATATATTTCATTTGGTTCTATTATTTGATCACCTGTTTTGAAATACAACATTATATATAATTTCATATATTTCTTTCCTCAAACATTCATTCTCTCGTAGCACCTTTTCAGGGCTAAATAAAACGTCCCTTCACAAAAGTATACAAGAGGCAGCAGTTTATTAATAACACTCCACAGGGGGGAAAAATAACAAAATCAAGAAACAATGAAATTACTTTATTAAGATAGAACTAGAAGGTAAGTGTCTGGGTGACGTCAGCCGCGCACCTACAAAACCAATCAATTATTCCTAAATATGTAGCATATTACGAACAATATACAGGTATATGGAACCTCAGAGGGTAAGAGATTCGCAATTATCTCGAACATGTACACGTGTAGATGTTTATGCAAAACAAACAGGGCCTAATTCTATCTTGAAATCGCTCTTCTGTCCCATGTCATATGGAGATACATCAACGATTGGAAGTTTGGCTGTCTTTTTGGTTTCAATCTCCAACACGGTGGCGTGCCATTTGTTGTCCTTGAGCTGAGAAGATAATGGAAAGAATTAAAAAAAAAAAAAAAAACAAGTGTAATTTTTTTTGTAACACGAAACTTTTTTCTTCTATAGAGCCGGCTTTGCACCATCACGTTCAAATGTCCATAAGACAACTTGGGCTGGCTGTGGTTATATTGCAGAACAATAAAATCCCTTTGCTCACGGGAATTGAATTCTTTCTCATGTAAGAAGCTTGTATTGTTCCTGCCATCTAACATGGCTGCCGTCACGTGATGGTGCATGCAAAGCCTCTATTCCAAATTCAATCATTCAACAATCTTTGAACTATAGCACATGACGTTGGCGTGGAAGGAAACCTCTCGTAAAATATTTTCGCAACATCTGTGTGCCAAAAAAGGTTGAAAAGACGAGATATGAAAGAGATTTTTCGAATCAGATGATCGACGTATGTTTTCTGGCCGGGCTTTCTTATGGGCAAAATCCACTTAAGCTTAATGTTTTCCCATTTCAGGCCACGTGTCATTCCCTTGAGAGTAAGATTATTTGCTTGAGGTGTATTCATATTCAAACTGTTAACTACCGCTGAGCGGTGAACGCGGCGCGCAAAGCATGAGTGGACGACAAATGACCGGCCCTAAGCTTTTTTTGGAACTTGAAAGAACGAAGGAAAGTAAAATTGTTTTTATTCTTCTTTTCCATGTTTCTGCTTCTTGTAGTAGCGTTTATTATATTTTAGTCTTTACAAAAACCCCAGAAAAATACGAAACAATTTGAGTCACAGTGGCCTGGGAATGAGGGCCGGCGGCAAAACAGCTAAACGCGCTGTGATTGGGTGAAACAAAATTCATCGCACAGCTGGTAACACTGAAAGGAATATGATACTCTAGAGAGTGAACTTACCTGACATTCATTTTTAATGATCTTAGTTTTAGTTTTGGATAGACTCGATGTGGCGTGGAGTTCCTCCTCGCTATCAGTCAAGATCTTAATTGATTGGGAACTTTCCCAGGCGTTGGAATTCTTGCAGTGGTAAGTAATGTTCTGCCAAACCTTTTTGCTTGACATTTGCAGGAACTTTATTTGTGTAGGTTCAGATTTGTATTCGATCTTTGAAGACAAAGAAAAGGCCATAGTTAGTGCGTCTGACATGAACGAGGCCCTAATTTCGAGAGTCCTAAATTCTAGCCAAATGCTAAATGCAGGGAAATTAATGGTACCTAATATTCCTTGGGCCGTCCTGATGGGATAATTTGCACTCCGAACAAAATGCTCATGCTGCACTTTAAACCCAGTTGAAAATAGAAACTAACAAATTATCGACTTTTACTTGCTGAAAGCCAAATGCTTTGATAAGTAAATGGCATGCTATTCAAAAGGCGGCAATATTCCTTGTACTCTGGTGACAGAACTTGCGTTCAGGAAATATGCTCCTTTCCACCCAGTTGTATAGATAGCAGGTGGTACAGAGATTCTTTGTCATATCAGACTAACTATACCTCCCCCCCCCCCCCCCAAAGCATTGTGGTGAGCCGTACCTGAACATCATCACCAATCCATTTCTCTTCTCCTTCATTTTGTGCAGATAGTGAGCTCTTTAGGATCTGAAAACAAACAACATATTACTGGATTAATTTCTAGTAAAATTTGGGACGAAAATTTTTCMCTTCAGGCCATTAAACCGGAGCATTATTTTCTTCTTTTTTAATTGAAAGTCGAAGAAGACAAATCGTTATGCTAGGAATCGAACTAATTAAAAAGTTTTATTCTAAAAGAGAGGGTGCTGAAAAAGTAAAATCAGACACTGGAAAAGGGACGGACTTGACCTATATAGTGCACTGGGAAATACGTCACTGGGAACATGAAGACTACTTCAACGATAGAGCGGCCATCTTGGATTTCAAGGGATTATGGGGGGCGTCCAGGAGGCAAAACAAAAAAAGATGGCGGATAATATATAGAGTTTTACGTGTTTGTCTAAGCTTTCTTGCATGGATAAAAGTGATCGTTGTGGACGCCCCTAAAGCCTTGGGATCCAAGATGGCCGGCTTCCGTATCATCGAAGTAAGCTATTTATATAGGTCACTAGAAAGGGAATTAGATGCACTGGAAATAGCGTTTAATGAACTGGAGATGGGGATTTACCTGACTTTTCTTGGGGAAGACGCAAGTGGCGTTCTTTTGGAAGTCACACCAGACAAGTTGAGAATCAAATGAACATCCCTCATTGGGGTCAATATAATAGAATCCTATAAAGGGAAAAAAGGAAATTAATAAAGCCGTAAAGTTATATCAAGGCACCCTCAGGGCACCCTCTATTAAGCGGTCATGTATGAAATCCAGAAAATCGCTCCTCACATTTTAACTGTAAGCTTGACCTTCATTAAGCGGTCAACCTAGAATAAGCAGTCACTTGGCTACTAGAGGTTTGACTATAAAACACACCATATGCTTACCAGTTTTCTTGTCAGGGTTGTCAATCTTAAGGTCACGGCAAGATTTTGCGGGTCTCGTTTTAGTACCATCTTGTTTCTTGTAGTTCAAAATCATCCTTTCCATGGCATGAAGATATACCTTCATCTGCCTTGTGAGCTGTTGGGTGAACGAGAGAGAGGATTTCGTATGCGAGCGGAAGGAAAATGGGAAATTCGTACTCTGAATTTCATGGTAAATTTGTAAATAAAAATTAAAAAAATTGTAGTCTTCTGTATATTAACGCAACTTCATACTTTTCTCAATTGTATTTCAGTATTTCGTACCGTATTCGTGCCGTAAGTCAGTACCTCCTTCCACCCACCCACCCCCCCNNNNCCCCCACACACACACTCATCTAAACACCCTTCTTATAGTCTTAGGCATGCCATACCGTGCAAATGGCATAGGTCAGTGCAGCAAGTTCTCGCTCTAGCTAAAATGCGCTCTGCTCTACTGTATTTCAGGTTGTCGTTGTCCTCGGTTTTTCGTTCGTGTTTTTGAGTCCATAAGAATATACCTACCAAATCAGGGATTTGATCTTCAGCTCTGTTTTCGGACCGCTCTCTCTTCAAGGAAAACGAAGCACGAAGGACGTTAGTTCAAAAAGAAATTACATCACCACTCAAAGCCAATCAAGTCCGAGGACATACTTTTTTTTAATACTTACTTCGCTGTTGTATAACCGGAAAGGTCCTTTATCCGCTGAACCAGTCGTAAAAACCTGATAAAAAGAAACAATTACAGGTTAATATACAGAAATAACAGCAATTAAACTAATAAACATGCAAACAAAGAAACAAACAATCCAACGAAAGACCAAAGAGACAGACAGACAGACAGAGAGAGACAGACAGACAGACAGACAAAACAAAAACAAAAGCGAACGAACGAACCAACAAACCAAGTAAGTAACAAACCAACCAAATAACAAACAAATAGAAAAACAGACAAATACGAACAAAAACAAACAAGCTGGACTTTGAACGAACAAGCACCAGACAGAAATTGCAAACAAACGAACGAACGAACGAACGAATGAAGCAACAAAGAATCAAATAAAGGAATGAACAAAGAAACAGAGAGAGCTAGCTCACAATATAGGCAACACTTACCGAAGACATGACGACGCGGCCTGGCTCACCCTATAAAAATAATACAATGTTAAAAAATGCACACCAAGATAAGGCAAGGACAAATAGGAGAATAAGGACAAAAAGCGCTATATAACATATCACTATGACTCGATTAACAGGCTTTTTGGCCGTTACTTACAGGAGGTCCGGGTGGTCCAGGAGGTCCGGGAGGTCCCTAAAGGGGAAAAAGGGCAAGTTTAAATGATACAAAATCATCAAATTAAATAATAAACAAAAATCATCCAAGACATCAAACAAAAATCTACTTACAAAACGTCCATCGTTACCCTAAAGAAGCAGAAAAAGAAGAAAGATCCGGTTAATATAAGATATGATTCAGTCAATACAAACGAAAATATCTTATATCACTGGCAATCTTTAGACTGTCAAAAGTCCCTCTTTCCTTTTGTAACTCAGTGAAGTCGAAACTCGTTCCCACTCCCTGCGCTTGCAAAATAAGGGGGGACCCAAACCGAATGAGTTAGGAGGGGAAATAGGGACTGTTAACAGTCTAGACACTCTTTGATGATGACAAAAATGTTGCTGTTTTTGACGATGCTGATGATGGTGTTGTTGATGGCATGGATGAAAGTGAATATGATGATGATCAAGTTAACGATGATGATAATGGTGTTGTTGATGACGTGGATGTGATTATGAGCCCTGCTGATCATTGTTGATAATATTATTGTTGATGCTGTTATTGCTATTGCTAGCGCAGAACAATAGTGTGGGCTATGATTTTGATAATGACGTTGTTACTGATGATGATGGGGGTTCCTGGCAACAAATAACTATGACGATGGATGACGATGGCGATCACACCTGCAAGAGGGTTGCCAATTGGGGTACCCAATTGTCAGTTAACTACTAACCCTATTGGTACCCTCCTGCTATGGTGAAGATATTAATTGTGATCAAGTGATCAACAACAAGTGATCAAAGCTATAAAACTTACGGTAGATCCACGTTCACCCTGTTAACGAAAATAGAAAAGTAAAGTTACAAACAAACAAACAAACAAACAAACAAACAAACAAACAAACAAACAAACGAACAAACAAAAAACCGTTAACTGCAAGTTCCGTACAATGGTATCGCAAAGGCATGAAAAATACCTTGACAAACTAAAATGTAGCTTAAATAACATGAAAAATGGTAAATCTAGTACTTACAACTTCTCCGGATGGACCCTGAGGGCCAATTTTACCCTATTTACAGAATTAAAAAATTATATATTAAAATATATATTAACAATCAATGAGGAGGTTTTACTTCGCAAAAGCTGATTTTTTTTTTAGCCAGCTAATAGGGAACAGTGGTTGAAGAAAAAAAGAATTATGTCGGATACTAATAAATTCCCTTTTTACAATTCTAGTGGAAGTTTCGTCCGGTGAACAAAATCCAGAAACCCATGAAATGAAATGGATACATTTATGACGTGTATAGCGCCCTTTCTAAATGAATATAATCAAAAGCGCTCTTTACGATGAGTTAGAGCGGTGGTTAGTCTGAGGTGTAGGCACTGCGGGTGGTAACTGGCAGGGTTTCTTTATGACCTCTTTGGTTTTTTATTTATGACCCTAAAATATTGGTAAGTGATGATAAAGTGTGTGGAGGGACGGGACTGCCATTTTTCGTTATCATGAAGAAGAACACGAGAGAAGTGTTAGGAGAAGCACGACGAGTAGCGGTGTGCTTCTCGACACTTCTCGAGGGTTATGCCAACCCCCGCGTGCTTCATAACTGCACACAGCACGCGCACGCGTTTTCTATTTCTTTTATAAAATACAAATTTCAATAACCGTTTTTTTTGGATAGAAATGACGCAACTGAAAGTGCGCGTGCGTGCAATGTGCTCTCATAAAGCACGCGCTCCAAACCAATCAGAACGCGACATTCATAATAGTTATTTTATAATAGGTAATAATGCCTTGAGGGAGAGAAAAAGGGCTTAGCTAATTTTTTTTTGGACCTATAGGCGGTTCATCGAAATCAATTCAAAGAGGTTTAGTTCTAAATAACTCACCTCTGCACCTGGATTTCCCTGAGGACCAACACTTCCAGCAGGTCCTGGCGCACCCTGAAACAACACAAGGTTAAAGATTTTGAGAAAGCGGACAAAACTGAAGAGCTTGACGATTGGTCATTGCCAAAAATACCCTGAAACAACCACTGGGCTGATCATAGTCGGGACACAGCTAGCTCAAAAATATAACCCTGAGATAACCCGGCCTTGGGCTGATCATAGTCGGGACACAGCTAGCTCAAAAATATAACCCTGAGATAACCACTGGGTTGATCATAGTCAGGACACAGCTAGCTCAAAAATATAACCCTGAGATAACCTTTGGGCTGATCATAGTCAGGACACAGCTAGCTCAAAAATATAACCCTGAAATAACCACTGGGCTGATCATAGTCAGGACACAACTAGCTCAAAAATATAACCCTGAGATAACCACTGGGTTGATCATAGTCGGGACACAGCTAGCTCAAAAATATAACCCTGAGATCACCACTGGGCTGATCATAGTCAGGACACAGCTAGCTCAAAAATATAACCCTGAGATAACCCTTAGGCTGATCTAAGTCAGGGCAAGCTAACTCAAAGATAAAACTCTAAAAAAGGCCTTTGAGTAATCGAAGTCAGGGCCGGCCTTAACATTGCAGGTTGAATTGGAATCAAGCTTGTAAGGTTTCCCGGGAAGAGTTCTGATTTAAAACATTATTTACCCTTCACTTTTGCAAAATTACAAACGAATTTTTTTTTTAAACTTTACAATTCTGTACGATATTGTTTCGGTAACTATCAAGCAAGTGTTCAAGTCATGAAGCGCAATATAAATAATAAATAATCATGCTTTATTTTCGTACCATGGGTCCTGGAGCACCATCAGTACCGTTTTTTCCGGTGTCTCCTCTCGCCCCCTGAGARAAAACAAAMARAMAAAAAAAAAACAAAAAAACAAAAAAACAAAAAACAAAAAACAAAAAAACAAAAAAACAAAAAAACAAACCAAAAAACAAAAAACAAAGAAAAACAAAAGCATGTGTTAGGCTTTCCGTTCACTATGGAGTAATGAGCCCAATAGACCTATCCCGAATTCGCTTGACTGACCACGAAACAATGGTTTGAAGTCAAGATTAAACTTGATTCTTTTATTCATCAAGTTCAACCTCAACAGTCAAGCGAATTCGGGATAGGTCTATTAGATTCAGAATTAATACCATTTATTAGTTATGTAGGTTTTGATATTTGATCATTTATTTGATTATTTCAAAAAGTTTTTCAACTTACGTCCCCACCAGTCTGACCAATCTTTCCAGGCTTGCCGGTATAACCTTGATCTCCCTAAGGAAAAAAAATGGAGAAGAAGAAGATTTTAAAATCACGCTAAGAAATCGCAGAATGGAAAGGAGTTCTTTTGCAAGAAAAATATAGTCGCGTCAAAGCAAGAATATATTGTCGCAGATGGACACTGTAACATTATCGATGCTACATTCACGACTCATACCATGAATAACTCGGTCTTTGTTAATGAAAACGGTAAATACGCATTTTTTTATCAGTAGTAATACACCGAATCGAAATATGGCGACCAATTTGAATAATTATTGTTCTGCACTGACTAGTGACTGACTATCCTCTCATACAGGTGAAAACGCTTCTATGTTACCACGCGAACACGAGGCTAGTCAGTCGCTGGTCAATGAACAAAACAATATAGTTATTCAAATCGGTCGCCATATTTCAATTTGGTGTATGCTAATGCAAGCTCCAATATGTTGAATCCTGCATAAAGAGCTGATAATCACATTGAATTCTCTGCACTGCTGCTGCCAGACCAGTTAGACTTGTTCTGAGGTCATTCGAATAAACTCAGTGATCAAGAAAAGGGAGTACAAAGTTGTGCCTGAAACTACCATACCAATTAATCGACATCGAAAACAACGCAACTGCAAACATAGTCCTGAGCATAACTGACAAAGTGCCTATTATTTTTCCAGACAAATTGCGGTCCGATTCACGACGCATGAAAAGCTCAGTGCCGTAAGCGTGACGTGCCGTGATGCTTTCTAGAATTTTAATTGGCTGATTTTTTTCACGCGCAATGTGATCGGTCTGGTATTGCCGTGACCTAGGCGTGACCGTGTCCACGCCGTGTTTATGTCGTGTTCCGGGTATTTGATTGGGAGGAGAGTAAATTCTCTTGCAATGTGATTGGTCTGGCGTATCCCTTGCCGTGTCATGACCGTGTCCCTGCCGTGAACTTTTCACAGTCATACGAAAGCTGCAAGGTGCTCAGTGGCGGATCCAGGATTTTTCAAAGGGGGGTTCCGTTTCTTAAGCTGTGTATAATTCTCTTTTGTTTAGTCGATGTTTGACAAAAAATTGGCTCTAATCACCTAATTTACTATCTAGTAACGGAACTTAAAGGTAAATTAAACATTATAACAGCAAATATTTATCATTTCGTGTTCAACATTATCCTTGTGGATACTTTTAAGCAAAATTTATATAAAACAT